CATGCAACTAATTATGTAGACATGCAACATATTAATTCACATGCAAGTTAATTATGTCACAAGCAAGTTACCAATCTAATAAAAAAATATTATTTTAAAATAGTCTAATTTACTTACTGTTTACATTTTAGATCAAGATAAAATTTAGACATGCGACTTATATATTAACATCAAGATAATTATGTAAATGGACTTTTTTATGTTGAATCATGATAATTATGTTAACATGCTACATGCTACATGTACTTATTTATGTCAACATGTGACTTAATTATATTAACTTGCTACTTATTTATGTCATCTTTGGACCTATTTTTTGAAAACGTAAGATATAAATTTTCATGTCAACATATGTATCTTGCATGTTGACATAATTATTTGCATGTTGACATAAATAAGTTGCATATTGATATAAATAAGTTGCATTTTGACATAAATACGTTGCATGCTGACATTTTTATTTTCATGTTGACATAAATAAGTTGCGTTTCTACGTATATTTATCTTGCATGTTGACATTAATAGGTCGCATTTTTACATAACTATGTTTCATCTTCCATCTACGATTCAATATGCGCGTTAGTATGTAAATTTAACCTTTTTTAAAATTTTTTTCTTTATTAGATTGGAAATTGATGTTGTCGATATGAAAAAATAAATATAAAGTTACATGTATATGCTTGGGAGATCAAAGATTTTCAGTTCACTCTCCTCAACCAGTCCAAACTGAGATTTTTTCATAATTAAAATTCAATCAAAACTTCTGTTATTTTTTTTTGTGGTGTGTGTGTGTGGTTTTGGGTTTTTTTTATTTTATTTTATTTTTTTTTTTTTTTTTTTTTTTTTTTTTTTTTTTTTTATTATTTTTTTTTTTTATTTTTTTTGCTTTTTTTTTTTCTTTTATTTAATATTTGTTTTAATTTAAAACAACTCAAAATGTAAACATGATGTAAAATATTTAAAACATCTCATTTTTTTTTTAAGAAAAGAACAGAAAAAGGTTCTTTGAAATAATATATTATATATTTAAAAATTGATATATTCTTTTAATTTACTATTTCTTTCCAGATTTCAGTATTTTCATCTTTTGACATTGATTTATTTTTTGTTCTCTTTGTAACATATAAGTAATTATTTTTATTTTTAATTATTATTGTTGCTTTGAACCTTTGAATTTCATATTTTTATTATTTTATATCTCTAAATTCAGAATTTGTCTGAAATTCAAAAAAAAGTTAGTGTTTTCATATTTTGAAACTTATTTTTTTTTTGTTCTCTTTGTAACTTTAAAAGTAATTTTAATTAATTATCATTACTATTTATTATTACTATTGTTGCTTTGTTAAAGCTTTTGGATATTTTTATATCTCTAAGTTCAGAATTTCTCTAAAATCTCAAAAATAAAAAAAAATGGCTAACGTCTTTACATTTTTTGCTAAATACTTTTACATAATATTTGACATATATCATTGTAAAACAAATATTATTGCTGAAATTATAATAAATTATTTTAATATCATCTATATTGACAAACAGCTCGTTTCAAATTTAGATGGGCGTTTAGGTAAACTGTAATGGCCCTGATTTCTGGTGTAAACAGTAAACAGCCTCTTCACATTGACCATGGATGTTTTCAAAATGTTTACGCTTGGAAATCACTCTTTTTTGGCAACGGATCTTAATTTAAGAGATTTTGGTCGTCAAAGCCTCCGGCATCACTGATTCTTTAATTAATTCAGCCTTAGAGAACTACAGGGGCTTGCAGCTCGCACCACTGAAGATTAAACGTTGCAGTATAGGTGACAGTTTTTAAAAGCCATCTTTAGTATGAATTGATAAAGTCAAAGCAACAATGACTTAGTGCTTGGAGTTTTTCGAAAATTTTTTCACAAGGATTTGATGCATTGCGTGATCTGTGGGCAATGTTTGGGGTTGGTTCTTCGACTTGCCCACAGGGAATGAAAAGGGGTTATTTCTATGCCCTTTCTGCCTTGAGAGATTTCCTCATAACTTTGGTGAGTAACTATTAAGCTTGAGATTTTTTTGAATAGCCTATTTAAATAGTTTTGAAATATTTAATTATTAGTGCTTGGGGGAAGGATAGTGTACATCATTTTCCGTAGGCAATCTTTTTTAGAGGAAATTTGACCTATACTCAAAACATTTTTTTAGCGCACAGTATCATAGTCATGCTTCAACAGAATTAGATTCTGCTATATATTAATCGTTCTAGGTGCCCGTTGGGGCGAGCGCAGTTATTTACTATCAAAAACCTTTACACAGTTTTTCATGTACTTGCACTGCCTATAGCTATCCTCAGTTTTAATCACTTCCTCGGCATCGGGATCGGGTTGAACTTTTGGAAGTTTCCGACAAATGGAAATACCCGCCTTTTGGAAAATTTAAGTAGATAAAAAGTCCTGTTGATTCAAAGGCATAAGATAGTTTTGTGGCATGGAGATTGCATAAAATCGTTCTTTGTAATTTTTTTCAAGTAAGTTGTTGCTATTAGCCCCTTTACGATAACTGCAAATCCTTTTTAGGGGAAAAAATAATTTGGCGAAGTTTTTGTTAATAGATAATTAAATGACGATATAAGACAATTACATTTAAGTCATATTTCGCCAAAATTTTCCCTTTTTCCCCCAAAAGAGATACCCCAGTTATCGTGAAAGGGTTAAAGTTTGAGCCATATGTTGCTATGCACCGAAAGGTTTGGGATTTGGAATTTTTTTACGCGGTATAAAAATTTCTCGGAACAATGTGCAGTTTCAACCCGAATTTCCTCCGGTCGTACACGTTAGTCTATTGAGCTCGCTACGCGAACGGCGCTTCACGCCGCCTCGCTGCGCTCGCTATTAACAAAAATGTGCAAGTTTGAGTACATGTAATTTAATTGAAAACGAACTTCTGAGAAGATTCCTTTTCAGATCTTGTAAAACCACTAACGCGCGGAATGATAATTTGTCAACATGACCAGGTGTGTTATAGGACCAAAGACATCAAAAAATCTCAATTAAATGCTTATATTTACACTCTTCTGTTTTTACTTCTTCACAGTTGCTTATTTCGTTGATCTTTAATGTGAATTTATCACACAGCCCTTCAAAACTGCCATGGTTATTAGATGTAAGAGCCATTTGTGACGTCAAATGGCGTTTGCAAAGTTAAATTACGCAAACAAACATTGCGAGGAAAATAAGTGACAAATTAGTAGGATAGACCTTAGAGAAATGGGACTGTCCATAAAAACACAAACACAAAAATTATTTCATATTTAATATTTGCCTGATTGTGACTTTAATGTGTGAAATACATTATTTTTCAAACCCAACGGCATGTATGTAATCCACTGAACGGGTGTCGACCATTATGACGTCACTGAGAAATTATGTCAAACATTTATCAGTACGTTTATGAACTTACATCTATGACCTCTTGACTGTCTAGATTTGAGACTCTCTGATAAATATAATTTTGGGGCGCTCAATTGGATTGTAATTTGTTAATATCAGTTTATTTTTGTTAAAACAATACTTTCGTTCTTTACTAATTTATAAAGCTTGGGGTGTTCCAAAATGCTAATTAGAGGGCACTGATAAATAAATATTTGGGGCACTGGTGATTAAAATTTGGGGTGCTCAAATTTGTACCTGGGCGCAGCACTGGTAAAAATCTTTGGGGTGCTCAATCATGGAGCATTCAGGTTTTGGGGCAAAACGACAGTGACCCAATTTTTTAGGTAACTTTCACTTTCAGAAATACATAATGATAAGGTCATCATTCTAAACATATTTGACTTTCAGTAATACTATGCCCTAAGAGTTACCCTATAACCAAGTTTCATTTGTACTTTCTTAAAAATATGGAGGTATTTTGATATTTTAGATGTGACTTTAATAACAGCACAGGGGCTCCTTCTTTCCAACAATTGAATAAGACCAAGATGGGAGAGAGAGAGGTGGAGGGGGGGCTTATAGGGGGAAGGGATGATTAATAGGGATTAAAGGGTATAAATCAAGTTTGTGTCTTAAGAGTCATTCTCTGTAAGGACCACAGATGCCGTTCAAACGAATATCACAGATTTTAATAAAACATATATGAAAAAAATATGAATGTGTATGAGATTAATTAGGTATACTTAAAATTTTGAGATGTGACCTATCCTCCAGGTTATGGCCCCCTAACACATTTTGTGGCTACCCCCATGTTTGAAAAGGTCAGTTTTCTCCTAATTTGACATAAAAAATTCTAAATAAGAAATGCACTATGGTTGGATTAAGTGCATTAAATTGTGAAAACAAGGTGTGAAGTAAAGATAAAAAATTATTTTGCTTCATCACTAACTCCCCTTTTTATTTTAAAGAAATTTAATTTCCTCCTATTTTTAACCCATAACAAACACACTAAATAACCATACTTTCAGTGCCATTTATAAAAAAATCCCAAGATAGGTTTATAAAATATCAACAATATTTTGAAAGCAAACATACTTGATTATTTATTCATAATTATTCTGGATGTGTGTTTTTTGTTTTAAAAAAATAAAATGCATTTGAAAATTTAAAAAAACTAGCATTTCACAAAAATATTATCTCCCTTTGTAGAACTCTCTAGTTCCGACAGTGAAAGAATTAGGTAAAAACAAAAGTATTTGTAAGCATGACGTTTTGCCGGTTTGGAGTTCCTTTTCACAAACGATGTGTTTTACTGATATTTTTATACGAAACTGCTTAGATTATACAGTATAGCTTCCTTGGCAGATGTGATATTGTTTATTCTAAAGACATTCAACAACTCGTGAGTTTTAGCAATGGCCATGTATTGTCTAAAGTAGGTCGTATGCCATGCATGTGTTACACTTGCAAAATTATATTTAGTAAATACAGTGAATGACTATCGAGTGTGGACGTTATTTTAACTTTTCTTCAAAATAAAATACAAATAGGTGAAGAAGGAAGTTTTGTCAAATGCCAAATCTTCTAAGTTCACACCTGCATATTGAAAACACCAGAGGAGATGGACTATGAATTCCCCTCCAAATAGAACATGTGAAAATTTGGAAGCAGGTCATTTGATTGGTCAAGCTGGTGCAACGCTACCAGTGTTATACACCATGCATGTACACGTAAGTAACTACAATTTCTGATACACAATATAATAATATTTGTTCGTAGAGTTATGAGTAGATGAAATTATTGAAAAAGAATTAAATCGAAATGAATGTAAAAAGGTACAGTCCAAAGACTATACTAAAGCATTTTCTATCTACATGTGTAGGTCTTAGAAGTGGGTAAAATAGCTACTTTGGGTAGCTTAAACCTACATACATGTACATTGTAGCTATTAATAGCTATGTGGGTAGAATAAGAAATAATCTTTGGACTTGACCTTGTAAATTTCATTTTCCTTGTTCATCTTGAACACTCTATAATGATGTATGCATTTAAAGATTAACAAGATATTAATTAAAAAGTTTCTCCAAATTTGAATTATTGTACACATTTATTTTAGACCTGTCAACATACAAAACTAAATAAGAAGACTTAGTACCGTTAAATATGTGATGAATGGCAAAAAAAAATTAACAATTCATTCTTATATAATTATGCTTTAATTAGTACCTGTAAGGAATTGAATTATTTTTATGAAAATATACAATTTATTGTAGCATGCTGCTGTGTGACCAAGTGAGGGGCATCACAAGGAAGGGGAAGATATCTAGATCATTCATGGAGCCTTCAACATCGTATTAAAACCAAATTATAAAGAGGTATAGTGTCCATGTACTATAATTTTGACCCATTAGCCTTGACTTCTATATCTTTCAAGAAATTAGACATTGGTAATAAATTTTGAAGGATAGAAGATACAGCTTTCATGTTCCATATATACATTAACTACTATTATTGACCCACTTCTCAAGGCATGTTAACGTTCTGTGATGTTCCAATTTTTACCCATCTGAAATCATCCTAATTATTCTATACAAAAATTTTTTACTTCAAATTCATTTTTTGTGCAACTTTGAATAAGAAATTAAAAAAAACTACACTGTAAAACTTATTCATTTTATTCATTAAAACATGACCCAAGTTGTTATTTTCAAAAATTTTGACAAGAGTTTCTACCACTTTCCTTAAGAAACCTCTCTACACCGAACACTAAAGAGTTACGATTCTGTTCTATTTATCTGCCCTTAGATTTAAATGCCAATAAATATACATTTACACTATATTACTTAGTTTATAATCAAATCAAGTATTCTTAACATTTTAAAAGGGCAAGATAGTTTAAATTCTAAATTATAAACATGTTGTTTACATGTATCTTCTCCATAGAAGGAAATAGCAATTATTTCTACTGATACTGTGTTGTGTTTGAACATTTTTTTCCTGGGGTTAAATGCCATGTATTATGTATTGAAAATGAAATAGAGAAGCTTATTATTTACATCTTTATTCAATATAATTTTCGCAAAGTCCAAAAATCATTTTACACTGGTGTAGAGAGGATGTATGACCTATTACATGTACAAGTGTAACTGGTTCCTTTAATCATTTTTAGCTCTACTGGTCAAAGACCAGAAGAGCTTATGCGATAGTCATGTGTCCGTCTTCTGTTTGTCTGTCTGTATGTCTGTCCGTCTGTAAATAGTTTTCAAAATGCTACTCCTCCTACAGTTTTGGTCTGATTTCAATATAACTTGGCACACAAGTAAACTATAATAAGATAAATAATTCTGTGTATCTGTTTTGTCATTATTCTATTGATTGCTTTTTTAAATGTCCCAACTGCTAGTTTTCTCTTTCTTTATGATAAGTACAAACCAGTAGAGCTACAGTCTTGACAGAGATTTCTGGTTAACTTAAGTCTTGTATTATCTAAATCTAAATATTTGTATTGTCTATTACAGAACTCAAGAAGCCAGAATTTTACATTTAGTCATGACCAGTCATGACATTCAGCAAATGAATGAGTATCTGATGAAAATTAGTGAGAGTTTTCAGAGAATGGGAGATACCGTTGGACACCTTCACTAAGCCTGCTATATTATACTACAACAATATAATGACAAACATTGCTGTTATTCTCCCAAAAGAACATCAAAGAAATAGTGAAGTCTTACAGTATCTGAAGAAAATCCTAGTCTTGCTTATAGTATTATACCTGAAGGAAGTTTTGACCACTTGTCCTGAAGTTATTCATGCATAATAACATGGGTCCACTATGCACTACCATGAATATGCTTCAAATAATTTAAAAAAAAGAATTTAATAATGTACATTCTTAAATAAAAGATAAAAGGTGTATAAACAGTAGTCTCATGTAAAATGATAATTCCATCCTTTGTTACAATTATTGAATTTTTATTAAATTGACAAAAAAATTAAAGAAATCTATATCAAAAGTGTCTATTATTATTTTCAAGGCTTAAGGATAACGTTTACTTGGATGACAAAAATATTAACTGATAAAAGTGAAAAACCACCTATTGTACATCTATGTAATTATTCACTTAAGTATGTCATTGCCCTACTATTCCTGCTAATGGCTCTTGGGTATTTCATAGAAAATATATAATTATTTTTCACAATATGACCACATTTGCCCCCCCCCCTAATATTTTGCCAATATATAGAATTAGTGATGGGAATCGGTAAGAATTTCATAATCGATGATTGGGTTCCTCTAACTAACTAATTATCGATTATAATCGGACACGTAAAAAGTATATCAATTTAAACAAGTAAATGGTAAGAATGGGTAAATGACGACTCACTTTGGTGATCCAGTTTGTTATTTGTTCATTTTATAGAAGTAAAAGTATGCCTATGCCCAGAAACATGCTTTGTTATCTGGGAGAAATGCAAGAGTTTGTTTATCTGCACTGTTACGTTACACAAATAAGTCAGAAGCAATGCTGAGGATAGAAAATTATGGCTAAAAACTATATGGCTTGTAAAATAAAATTATAAACCGATTAATCAGAATTTTAAAAATGCAATCGATTGGTTGGATTATGTCAGTAATCGACTGATTTTCGATTATAATCGATGATTGGAACACCACTATATAAAATTCTATAATAAACATAGCTACTCTATGCTTGTGCCCCCCTCAGAAAATACGTCTAATGATCTTTTGTCCTTATTTTGCTTTCTAGACATTTTTGGTAGTTTTCACTGAGAATGTATGGTTGTGCCCCCCCCCTTCCAACTGAAATTGCCTCTTACGAGCCTGCAATCAAGTTGAAAATCTGAATGACAGGAACTCTTATTACTTACATGTATGGCCTCATTTTAATTTTTTTGTCCTTATTCTGCTGGTATTATAATTTTATGAGCTCAATAATCAAATTATTTAGATATGTTGCTGTGAATGGTTTGTGTTCAACAGTATACATACATACATGTATTTTTGAAATTCTTTATTGTGTATCAATCAATTACAAGTATATGAAATAATGTTTGAGCTTTAATATAAATTGATAATTGAAAAAGTTATTTAAAAAAAATAATTAGCCCGAACTTTCTCTGCACACCATAATCTTTTATATTTTTTTTGAAAAAATAATAATAAATAATAATCTTTTAATTTTCAGATTTATTTTCAGTTATCAATTGTTTATTTAGTCCATTTAAACCATTTTGGATTAAACATGTTGTACTTTATAGCATTCTGTTTCTGTAATCAGAAATCCTGACTTAAGGTCATCCAGTCAATTCCTGAAAATGTGGAGAAGCAATTATACTACATGTATATATTCTTCAGTTAACTTTGAACTCTTGACCTTAGCCTTACGTTGTGATAGAGTTAATAATTAACTTTTCATCGACTCTTTTTTTCTGCTAAATTTGTAACAAATACGTTTAATAGCTGAAGAAGATAAAGTTTGAGTCATAGAACAGGTGTCATTAATCCCCAGCCTTTTCCTCAATAAAAAAAAGGGGGGGGGGTAAAATGAAATATCTGTGTGTTACTTTTATATCTTAAATATCACTCTCTACCATCGGCTCATACATTCACCTCTGTTGTTGGCTCGCGTATACACAGTGAAATAGTGCGTTTGTTTTAATTCATTACAATTCTTTTATATGTCTGAGTTTTGAGATAGATATACTAAATCAATTCAGAACATTTCATTTAAAGTTTTATACGTTATGTCAAAAATCTTAGTAGCATGAGGTGTTCTTTTTTGAGAGAGGAACGAACGACAACTCTGCATGGGGAGATTGCTTAAATATATCTACATTTCATTTAAAGAATTGATTAGTAGCATATACACGTCAGTATTGTTAAAATTTAGCCACAAAAGTGATTTTGAACCGATAAAAACATGAATTCAAAAAAAAAAATCCCATGAGCCCTGTTAACCACTGCTATGTTGCTATCCGCCCCTAAAATGATACATTTTCATTCATTTTCATAATTTAATTCTCTGTTAAGGTTGTTTTACATAAACAATGTCCTCAAAAGAGAAAAACAAACTCTACAAAATATACCATATACAATGTATAACGCAGTTTTCCAATCCATATCTGAGGAAATTCGGGATTATGGGTTATTTTTATTTTGATATTTCCCGAGTTATCTGAAAAACACATGTTGGGAATCTATATGAAATGAAAGACTATAGTATAGATATTTGGAATAAACAAGAAGTTTAAAAAACCTATCTTGGAATTTAAAGATAAATGTAATTGAAATAGAGGGTAAAAAGGGTTTTTCTGCATTTTGAAAAAAACATGAAATTTGATATTTTTAGCCTTCTATCAGCTTGAAACGCCTCAGGCAAAAGATTAAATTCTTAATTATTTTAATTATATAAGAATGCATAAAATAAATTATATAATTGAAAGTGGTCATATTTTTTGTGTTTAAAGGAAATATTGGGGTTAAAAATGCTATATTTCATGAAATAGAACCTGTCAAAATGGCCATATTTGTGTTAGTTACGGTTGCCATGGCAACGGACACCCCGAAACATGAACTAAGGTGGTTTTCTCAGTTAGACACCTGAGTACACTCTAAATACAAAAAATTACGTATTTCGGAGACATTCATTTTTACGGCCTCCTTGGATTCTTTGGTTTTTACAGAGAATGACTCTTAATTACTTTATCATGTTTTCTGGTACAAAGATAAATTATAACATATTTATAAATAATTATTTAAATTTATTATATAGAACACCATGAGATGTGTTTAAAGCAAAGACATCCATTTGGATATGGATTTGACAAACAGCTAGAAGTCGTTGTTGCTGTTTTATTGACAAATCATCTTCTATCCCGCCTTGTATATGGTAATATATATCTATAAGCAATGACTACGAAGGACAACCAGTCAAATGTCCATGTCTGAAGCCATTAGATTGTGCATCCCTTATATATATTATGGACAAACAGGACTTGGTAAGTATTTGTGCACTGCATTAAACAATGAATATTTACATTTCCAATGTGTTTGTTTATATATAATTATAAATAGTTAATGTAGTACTTCATTATACTTCTGTTAAAATGTTTCCTATATAAACATGATAAAGTTCAGAGGTAAAAGCAACCTCATCCTTTTGGAGGTCAACGCATAGCAAAGCAGAGCTGCCAACCCTTGGTTGACACGGGACGAAATGAGCCTCTGGAGTCCCGCCTTACGATTTCTCTATATTCTTCCTAGTTAGGTTTTTCTAGTTCAGTTTATATATACCGGAATTTGCATAGATGGGTAGTTTATACTTTCTACTATTTTAAATACATTCATAATCCTTATAACTATTTATTTGTTAGCACTATCTATAGTTTAAGAAGGCCATCATATTTCCTTCTCCAGAACTTGTCAAGAAAATAAATCCTGAAGTAGTTTATATTGTATGTCCTTTTACAAAACATCTTCAGCGGCAGGGGTGCCTAGGCGGTTCTTTCGAACCCGCCTTACTATTCGTCATCGGCAGAATGTATCGGTAGCTCTGGCAGTGATACCCGGGGTATTCGTTTTGTCACAACTTTACATATCTTTGTCAATTTGTTCTATATAAAAATACTACAAATAAACATGCTATCTTTTCCAAACAGCCCCTACCGTGAAATATTTTTTGTGCTATCTGCCCATGGTGAAATAGTCATCAAACTATTCACTGGCAGCATTCTGTTTCCCTTGCTTTTTATCTTGGAAAACTTCTGATTTTATACGGATTGTGACGTATATATTATGACGTAACAAAAGTAAAGTCAGCATCTGTATAATAAAACACCTAATTTATCACTATGAGGACACAATAGGGCATTTGCCCTTCACACAAATCATTTCCCCCGGCTGCGCTTCGGGAAATAGTTTGCTGCCTTGGCGGATGATAAACTTGGCTATTGTCCTTATAGCCAGTAAATACCGGTAGGTGTATGTTATCCTTGGAAAATTTTCATGCAATTGTTGCCGCAAATTTTGATTTCCAGCGATAAATCTTTAAACTGATGATGTCATAATGACTTCAGTAGCATTGTGACATCATCAGGATTTTCAGATTATTCTTGCAGAATTATCTTACTCCAAAAAAAATTCAAACCTCAGAAATTATATTATACATCAGTATAATAAAACACTTATCCACTGGTTGTGAGTGGGATAGCTCTTTTATCAAACCCGGACAGGGAACTTATTCCCGAGGGCTTGCCCGAGGGTAATAATTCTGTCAAGTAAACTTTTTAGAATATGGGCCATATCTCAAGAACCCCTTGGCGAATTAGTACCAAATTTGTCACAGGGTATCCTTGGTCCAAGGGCTACCAATTATACTAAAATAATGGTTGGTACCCTTAAACAAGGGGAGAAAATCAGGAAAACAAAACCAAAAGTATTGGTTGCTAAAAAATCTTATTCTCCATACTTCTTCTCCATATCCACAAGGCAGATTTTCACCAAACTTACATACAAGTATCAGGATATGTTGAAGATTAAAATTTGGGAATTACCCTGGGGCAAAGAGCGTGGTCTCAAGGTCAATTCAAAGTTGACCTAAATTTACAATTAATAAAAACGTGTA